AAATGAAAAAGAAAAACCAATACAAACGTGAACATAATCATATGACTAAAATTCGGCGGCACATTTTTAGAATTTCGCGGCACACAAAATTACCGCGGCACAGTGGTTGAGAATCACTGCACTAAGGTATCAAGCTTGTAAAGCTTGAGATTTTTTATGGTGTCTGCCGGGGAAGAGTAGAGCTCATCAATGGATGAGTCAATACAGTCAATAATATGTCTTGGGGTTGCAGTCTGAGAATTGCACTTAGTACATAGTGGGAAAACCTTGCAACCATTCTGGAAAGTCATTGTCCGTAGATGACCAGACTTAAGTCTGGAAATCAAAGACTGTTGTTCTCTTGGGAGGACAGAACCGGTGAAGAGTGTCCTCTCATGGAGGGGTTCTACTGTATATATATATTAAGAATTTATATTTATTAATAAAATCTAATCTGAAAGCCGCATTCATCTGACTTTGAGATACAGGATATAAAAATTAACCCTCTCTCTGTCATGATGACACAACTATTCTGTTATGAAATTGTTTCTACTTGGAGACAACATTATCAAACAATCTCCACCCAATTTCAACTAGAATATCTTTGCTTAGATTTTTTAATGAAACTGATTCCAAAAATTATTATTTAAACATACAGGGGGTCGGTGGAAGGCTGGTTAAACCGTTTGGTTTTCAACCACTATGACCCAGGTTCAATTCCCGAATTGGACACTTTTTTCTGTTTAAAAAAAAAAATGCTCCAATGGCCCCCGATTCTTGCAAAAGTCCAACCCCACCAGCGAGTGCAAGTAACCAAACAGGGCTCTGGTACATTTGTAAGTGGAAAGTCGAACTGCTTTTCATATGTGTAGACATGTGGTGAACTTACAGTAAAAGCAGTCGCTAACTACCCACCATGATTATCATGGCCTGTACCACGTGTACTAGGGATAAGCAAAAAAAAAAATTAATTAAACATTATATTTATTGATTTACAAGAGAGAGAACAAAATATAAAAGGGAAACTAATATTAAACAAAGAAACTTTTTTTTTTTCAGTTAGCGCCTATTTACCTGTGAGCTTACACACACTCTGTGGTAGCAATTATTCTATATACAGTTACGAGCGTCATGCGTCTCTCTGTCACCATTTGCTTTTTTTGGAATGGTGCTCTCCTATTGGTTCGCTACGATGGCGCCGCCACTGCGCGAGTCACTTTGCCCCCCCCCCCCCCCCCCACTCGCTTTTTGTAACTATTGTGTTGGAGCGGGTCGCTCCTTAAATAAATGCATATATTAGTTAATAACTAAATGGAATCCTCTTTCTTTTTCCCAGTAAGAGACGCCTACGGAAGCCAACAGTACATAGACAGATAAAGCACATAGGCTATAGTTATTAACTAATATATGCATTTATTTAAGGCGCCAATTTATAATTGTAACAAATAGTATTTGAATAAAAACATTCAATCGGGTAAAACACAGGCGTTGATGATACAACAGGTCCACGTGTCTAAATTAAAACACGGGCGTTGCCCGGGTCATTCGGCTAGTGTAATATATATACAACAGTATCAAATATACAGTTCAGGAAAACTTAAATTGGAACCGTTATTTTCATATTACTCAATTTTTAAAAGCTTTTAGTTAAACTTGCTAATCTGTTTGGCCACAAATATTGTTGTGGAATGGGGTGTAGGGGTGCAGCTTTCATTGATCATGGCACCATGATCCAGGCACACTTTGGTGAAAGTCTGACTTTGCCTGTAATTTGAGGCCGTTTCTAACATGGAAGCAGATGCCTTTGCTGCCAACATGAGTACAGACGCAGCTACTCCGTATCCCTGGAGTGGGACCCTTGCTGAGGTCTATCAACTGGGTCAGTTGAAGTCAGGATTTTTAAAGAGGTCTACTCCTCTTTTAACACAAATCTTGTAATCATTATTTAATATACTTACAGAGTGCATCTAGAAGTCTGAAATTTGGTACACTTATTCTAGCCTGATGACAATGTAAGTTATCAAAATTTCCGACTTCTGGGTGGTTGGGAATCGGCAATTTTTTTTATTTTAAATATTGTGATCAATTTTAATATACATACAGAGCACCTAGAACCCTGAAATTTGGTACACTTGCTTCAACCTGATGACATTGTAAATTGACAAACTATCTAATCTTCTAGGGAGTCAGTAATGGACGAATTTTCATTTCTATATACAGTTAAACCTGTCTATAGCGCCCTCCTCTTTTGGGACTCACCAAAATAGGGTGCTATAGAGAGGGGGTGCTATAGACAGGTCACTTTTAATGTAAAATGTTTACTTTCTTTTTTGCTTATCCCTAGTACACGTGGTACAGGCCATGATAATCATGGTGGGTAGAAGAAGGCGACTGCCTTTTACTGTAAGTGCACCACATGTCTACACATGTGAAAAGCAGTTCAACTTTGTACTTACAAATGTGCCAGAGCCCCGTTTGGTTACTTGCACTCGCTGGTGGGGTTGGACTTTTACAAGAATCGGGGGGCCATTGGAGCATTTTTTTATCAGAAAAAATTTGCCCAATGTGGGAATCTAACCCGGGTCATAGTGTGTTGTGTTCAATTTTAATATACATTCAGACCACAAAGAAGTCTGTAAATTTCTAGACTCACTCAATACAACTAACATAATGCAAGTTGACAAAATTCTAGACTTCTGGATAGTAGAGGTGTTGAGTAATGGACTATTTTTTCTATATTTCGTTTATATTTTTGTGATTAATATTTTATAACTTTCTGACCACGTATAAGTCTGGTATAGTAAGTTTAATACAACTAACATTACAGGAATGGGGGGAATCTTGTGTAATCTTTACACAAGGGGATAAGAAACAACAGCAACAACATTGCAAGTGTGCAAAATTTCTGACTTCTAGGCGGCAGCAAGGGTTGAGAATAGACGAGAGAATTTCCATATGCACTGGCGCCTAAATTTAGACATATAGATATCTGGAAACAGTTATTAAAGGTAGAAGCAATGATAAAAACCTTCTCAATCTTCAAATTCATCATACCTAATTGGCCTAAATTGCCCTAAAATCATTGCATCAAGAAAATATGTATATATAATTCTACTTTTCTAAAAGCTTATGTTCATAGTTTGATCAAATACCAAAACTAAGTTTCCACCCTTGAGTATCACATATACAAGCAGAAATACAGTATCTGAGTTCTAAAAAGCGGTCTGGTGGATTAAATTGGCGAAACCCCTGGGGGAGGGTTCCCTACTGATGAGTCATCTCCCCCCTCCCCCCCTTGGAAAGCAGCCAATTTGTAAAAATGGTAATTTTAGCAATGAAGAGAGGTGTCTACTTTGTATAGGGAATGTGTCTGCTCACGAAGATTCTACTATAACTGATTGGCCTTACACTACCAGTAACTCCATAGGTTTCAGGCTGTACCAATGTGTACAAGTGAACACACAAGTTGGCTACCTCTAAAGGTCAATTTTAATGATTCTATTCAAGGCAGGGGGTTACTCTGCGGCCTTCACCAGGGCCTCGTGGACCTCCACCTCGATCTGGGCCTCGGCCCGTTCCAGGTCTGAGGAGGCAGAGGTGAGGTGTTGCTGGGCGGTTGCCAGCCCGGACTGTGCTGCCTACACATCACATGTCATAATGTGGATGATACCGCCTCCCTTCTAACCAATGAATGGTTAAAAATTAAAATGTTGAAAATGCTTGTGGGAATTGAAAACAATTTTTTTTCTAATTATCGTAAAAATATATATACAGTTAAACTTGTCTATAGCGCCCAATATTAAATACATAGTACAATGCGATTTACATTAAAAGTGACCCGTCTATAGCACCCTATTTTGGTGAGTCCCAAGAGAGGGCTCTATAGACAGGTTTAACTGTACAGTGGACCCTCGGTTTGCGAGCATAATCCGTTCCAGAGCCATGCTCGTTTGCGTTCGGAACTACAGGAACCTGGGTTATATCTCTGGGTTTAATATTGATATGCATATTTAAATATTCCAAATGGGGCTCTGGCACAAGTGCAAAGTTGAACTGCTTTTCACATGTGTAGACATGTGGTGCACTTACAATAAAAGCAGTCGCCAACTTCTACCTACCATGATTATCATGGCCTGTACCACGTGTACTAGGGATAAGGAAAAAATATATAAATATTTTGTTAGTTATCATATATAATTTTAAATATTAATTCTGTGTGATGATTGTATTTATTTATTTGTCCTCAGTTTACATTCAAGCACAGCTCACCCTGGCTATTTACACATGCCATGTTGGTGGAGTAGAATTGGCATTATTGTGAGTCAGTTTCCATTCTCAGTGGCTATGTGATATTGTATCTGATCAGGATTTGTTTCTTTGTTCCATAGTTTATATTTTATATTGATTAAATCGATTAATTAATAAATAAACACAAGGTAATAAGACCAAATAAATAAATAGTACATACACTATTTATTTATTTGGATTTGGTCTTATTACCTTGTGTTTATATTCTATAATCCAAATTGTGCCTTATCATTAATCATTAAATAATTATAATACAGTTAAACCTGTCTATAGCGCCCCCTCTAAATAGCGCCTTCCTCTCTATAATGCCTGATTTTAAACATTAAAATGTAAACATTTTACATTAAAAGTGACCTGTCTATAGCACCCTATTTTATTGAGTCCCAAGAGGGGTGACAGTTTTAACTGTATTTGTAATAAACCTTTTAATATATAAAAGAAGAAAGGAGAGATAAATTGTTTGCCCGGCGCGCGGGAGTGAGTGACTTCACGAGACACGCGCTTTGAACGAGTTGTTGTTGCTTTTTGTATTTCGAATAATAAAGTTGAATTAATCCTTTTATATCTAACTAGCCAAATGACCCGGGCAACGCCCGGGGTTTACCCGATTAAATGCTTTTATTCAAATACTATTCGTTACAATTATAAATTGGCGCCGTGGATGTCATTCTTGTATAATATATAAATGAGTTTTAAAAATTGTAAAAAAAAAATGCATCGGCCGGGAATCAAACCCGGGCCACCCGCAGGCGAGCATTCTACTACTGAACCACCGATGGTTATTAGAAATGGCCATATTTGGGTATTTATTCCATTCACAAAAGCAAACAGTGACAGAATTGATTAAGAAAGAATTGATTATGACGCTGATAACTGTTATATCTAATTCTTTAATTTAATAAAAAGGAATGATGATTATATAGAGAGAGAGATAATACAAAGACACAGAGGAGATCGTTGTGCGAAACACATTTCTATTTAGTGTTGGATAAGAAACAAGCTTTCGAGTAGGTGCCTTTGCCCCTCTCGGGATGTCGATATGCGGTTATTAACACCCTGTATGTGGAAAAAGTAAAACATTTGTAATTACAAATTAGCGAGGTTAGTTCTTTGTTTAGGCTATAACTATTTCTTCAAGTTTTAAATGATAAACACTCATGAACAAAACTTAAGAAAGTTGCACCTTTTAGCATATATATCAGGACAATAACTCCGAAAGATATTTGATATACAGTGACCATTATTGAAGACATATAAAATAACCAAGTGTGAACAAAATTCCCTCTGTCTCTCCTTCTTAAAAAAAAAAGACTACCGGCGATATAAAAGATTTTCCACTTCCTTAAGTTTTGTCCATGAGTGTAGATAGGATATGGAACTTTTTGCATGAATTCAAATGAAACAACTTCTTATTGTTTCTAACTGTGGTGAAACAATATTTATTTAAAGGGAAAAATCATCTAGAGCGCATGATAAATAAGCAGAACATCCCAATACAACATTAGAGCGGTATGGTAGATTAAACTGGCAAAACTGCTGGAAGGGTTTATTACTGATGAGTCAGGCTCTTCCAATATTTCTTTTCCTATACAGTAGGAATCTGTTTTATTTTTAAATCGTGTGCTAAATGGAAATAGGGGATTCATTTATTATAATATAATATTATATAATATATATAATATAAATATTTTTTAAATAATGCGTCAACATTCACGAAGTGTAAAATTACTTGTTTTGAAGGAAAAAGGATGATAAAAAAGAATTGAATATTTTTCGCTATGTAGAAATATACATGTATCATTCCCTAGGAATTTAATATAAATTTGATATAAAAGAATTTCACCACTCGAGCGCCACCGTCGAGTGGTATTTGGTCCATAAAACCAACTTAATTAAAATAATTTTTTTCAAAATGGTTTTTCAAAAATTATTATAATATTTGTTCATAATATGAGTCGATTTTTAGATTATTACAAATTCATATTTTAATTTTTATCATAATATTTAATATCACCTCTCCCTTCAAAAACACATTAAAACAATGGCTCATCACACCAATACAGACAGAACGTAATGGTGGAGATAAAGCCACAACACGAGTATAAAGCCAATTTTTAATTAGGAGACACTTATGGTCAAAACTTGAAGAAATTGTATCTTTTAGCATGTATATGGGGATAATAACTATGAAAAATATTTTATACACAGTGACCTTTATTGAAGACACACGAGATAACCAAGTATGAACAAAATTGCCTCTGTCTCCTTAAAAAATATATACGACCAGCGATATCAAAGACTTTCCCATGTCTGTACGTTTTGTCCATGAGTGTATTTATATATAACAACAACTCTAAGTCACAAAGAAAGGAAATGAGGAACTTCATTTCTTATAATTTAGTGAGAAAACACTGGTTTTGTGTATATGGGGGGGGGGAATTGATATTGAATATTTTTCGCCATGGAGAAATGTCTAATTATAATTTATTTAAACTTCGATATTAAAAGTATATTTCCATATATAGAGGTCCCGCGGTAGTGTTTATTGAAGTAAAAATACAAATCAAAAGACGATTCCATAAAATCAGTTTTATGGACTAGAATAAGTTTGATGGTGGCGCTCGCGTGGCAGAATTTGGAACTAAAATTGGCTTGTCTTTGTATTTTTACTCCTCTTTAATGGAAAAACTGAGTGTGACGTCATTGAACAATTAGATTAGTAGAAATAAATATATTGAGTGAAGATGTAAAATTTTATTAGGGATAAAAATTTGCTAATCAGTTGCTTCATATTAAATCAAATGGTATTTATTTAGCTTACTTCCAAACAAGTAAAAGTCTGGAAATCACTTGAATTGTCATCGTGATTGAGCAAGTGTGTAAATTTTCTGTTTTCTAGGTGGTCCGGATATGTTAAAATTTAATTACATATTTGTGGATACACAGACATGAATGTAAGTTAAATAAAAGCTTTTAAAAGGGAAAATGTTTGCTCAGGAAAACTTTTACTCTTCCAAATATTAATTTATGAGATAATTTTGAGGCAGATAAAATTTTAATTAAAGTACATTCTTTGTATAACAAATAGATAGAAATTGAATTTATATAAAGTTTATTCTATTTACAAAAAAAAACTAACATTGAATTGTTGTAGTCACTTCTATATATACATAAGTAAACTCAATGTATTAACATATTTTTTCTATATTGTCGTAATTTTTTCATGAAAGCTTTCATAGAATTGTTGGTTAATCTTTCACCCATTTGGGTTCTGGTCATATAAGATAAGCGGCTTAGTTGAATGTTCTTGGCATTTAGTTTCCACGAGAAGAGCAGCTTTCTTCGTCTATTGGCCTGTTGGTACTTTTCATCTATCATATTGGCGTAGATAGTGCATTGGGAAGTGTAGATTCTTCTTTCTATCTCCAGATTTCGACGTGGATCCATGAAGTTTTTAGAAACGTAACTTGCAAGTTTGTTGATATTTAACTCACACATGAAGCTATATAACGTAAGGCGATTCTCCACTAGTACATGTTGTTGCATCTCTTGTATTTCTTTTTGACAAGAATCCCAAAAATCAGAATACCATTTTATATTTATAAAAATGTGGTGTCTTGGTTTAGATGCTGTTGGATTGAATAAAATATAACTTTTTATTAATCGAAATAAATCATGTGTATAAATATCCCTAATATGAATTTTGCTCAATATTCTGTTTAAATTTATAGTAGCTCCCGCTTCAATTAGCCTTTTTACTCTTTTGTCGTAATCATTTTGACTTAAAATTTCCAAAGGGGTATCACCATTCTTATCTTTGAAGTTTACATCAGCCCCAGCTTCAAGTAAAGACTCGAAAACTTCCCAAAGTCGCCATTGAATAGAAACAAATAAAGGAGGAGTAGGATACAACTTTGTGGTTAGATTAACGTCAGCACCTCCTTTTATCAATATTTGAGCTATTTCTAATTTATTGTTATTTATAGCAAATTGTAAAGGATTAATCTTAAATTTTGTGAGCTCCTCATTTACATCTGTCCCTGCGTCTATTAAATTCTGTACCGTTGAAACATCATATTCAATTATAGCTCTCAATAATGGATTATCAATTATGGGATTTAATACATCCTCCCCAGTACTCTCTGATACATATTTAACACTTTTACCATCTATAGATAGTATTTCTCGATAATTTATTTTCGTGCTTGAAAGAAAGAAATATGTTTTACGCATTTTTTTTCTAATAAAATGTGTTTTTTAACAATTAATTTCCTTGGATAATTATCAAGTGTATCTTGCTTAAAGCAAGTAAAATAGCAATAAAATATTAAAAGATGAATAGAATTTGTAATAATATTATTTTTAATCTGTGATTTGATTTAATTATTTAATAATACTAATATTAATAAATAGAATATATATCTATCTCTATTATATTATATATATATATAAAAGTCAATTCCTGTCTGTCTGTCTGTTTCGCGATAAACTCAAAAACTACTGAACCAATTGGTTCCAAATTTTGCATGTCGCTTTTTATAAACCTGAGGAAAATGTTTGGCTACATTTTGCTTATTATTTTTGGCTATTTCTTTAAAGCTTTCTTTGGCTATTTTTTTAAAGCATCGGTGGCTTAGTGGTAGAATGCTCGCCTGCCACGCGGGCGGCCCGGGTTCGATTCCCGATGCATTTTTTTTTTTACAATTTTTAAAACTAATTTCTAAAAAATATAATATAAATATATACTATTATATCAACTATATGAATTAAATCAAATACTTAAACACTAATCTCTATATATATAAAAGTCAATTTCTGTCTGTCTGTCTGTCTGTTTCGCGATAAACTCAAAAACTACTGAACCAATTGTTACCAAATTTTGCATGTCGCTTTTTATAAACCTGAGGAAAATTTTTGGATACAATTTGCTTAGTATTTTTGGCTATTTCTTTTTTTCATTTGAAGAACTTTTTTTTTACGCGGAGTAATCCGGAATGGAATGAATACCCAAATATGGCCATTTTGTATACGCATCGGTGGCTCAGTGGTAGAATGCTCGCCTGCCACGCGGGCGGCCCGGGTTCGATGCATTTTTTAAACAATTTTTAAAACTCATTTATATTATATCTTCTATATATATAAAAATGAATATTTGTTTGTTTGTTTGTTGGTTTGTATGTCCGGTATACAAATTCGCAGTAGTTCACTAATTCAAACCAAAATTTCCATACATAGGTAAAAAAATACGAGGAAAACGATAGGCTATTTTAAATTATATATAAATTAAATATTAAAACTATATATTCAAATTATTCTACTTAGCTCACGAACAGCGCCCTCTATCAAGGTTATAAATACGTTTAAAATCGAAATCTTCTCAAAATTTTATTAATAATAGTTCGCCTAATAATTAGAATACTTGATCTAAATCGAAATATTTATAGACGCTCGCTCGATTTGAAGATTTATATCGTAACTAATCTGACTGTGAAGTTTGGAGCGGGACGTTTCACAAGAGTGACATCCACGGCGCCAATTTATAATTGTAACGAATAGTGTTTGAATAAAACATTTAATCGAATAGTGTTTGAATAAAACATTTAATCGGGTAAACCCGGCGTTGCCCGGGTCATTCGTCTAGTTTATATATAAAAATGAATGTTTGTATGTTTGTTTGTATGTCCGGTATACAAATTCGCAGTAGTTCACTAATTCAAACCAAACTTTCCATACATAGGTAAAACAATACGGGAAGACGATAGGCTATTTTAAAAAATAT